CTGCTGCTGCAAGTGTTGCTGTTGTAGTTGCTGCTGGAGATGTTGCTCAAATAGGGAGCTTAAATAATGAAGTGACCACCTTAAAGAAGATTTGCTTTTAACATGACAAAGAGGCAACTTCATTAATTAACCTATCTATTGTTTTGGAAAAATGATAGGCACACTCTCAGGCACACCACCAACCACACCCCCTCTCTATCTACAGTGCAGGGGGACTCACATCAGATTTTTTTAAAAAATCTGATGTGGGGCCCACTGGACTATAGATAGAGAGGGGGTGTGGTTGGTGGTGTGTGCCTGTAGCACCTTCCATTGTTTTGAAAGTCTGGTCATTTTCACAGAGTTATTTTCCATAATAAATCGTATAATCCAGTTTATTTATTTTTATGGGTAGAAGTGTTGGCGCATGGTTATTGTTCAGTAAATCAACTTAGGTTCATAATCAATTGGAAAAAAAAGTGAATTCTGTATTCACTGGAAATCAGCACTTCTATTTTATTTTCTATCTACATTGCATAATGAACGTCTCAATGTCATTTTCAGAACGCCTAGCCTTGGTCCAGCAACAACGAGCAGAGGCTGCAAAGAAACGAGAGGAGGAAAAGGCTGGTATGCTATCTATTTCCCTATGTTGATGCTGCTGTGACTGCTGAAGTTGTTGCTGCTGAAGCTGCTGCTGTTGTAGTTGTTGCTGCTGCTGTTGGAGCTGCTGTGGAGACTGCTGTTGGAGCTGCTGCTGTTGTAGTTGTTGTTGCTGTTGTTGCTGTTGAAGTTTAGATTATTTTTGTCTAAAGAGCTGCATTGATTGTATTTTTGTTTGCCGATAGTTGCAATTCGTTGAAGTACATTTAAATACTAAATATGTCTTTGAAATAACTCCATGTTGTGAGTAGTGATAGTTTTTGTCTAAAGAGCTTGCAAGAAGTGTTCTTTTGTGCTTGTATAAAATTCTTTAGTAGTTATGTAAGTTTTCTAGGGTTTCTTCTCTTGTTCTCATTGATAGAATCGTTGGCTTATATAGCCTTATACACACGTTTACACAAAGGCCCTCTAAGACCCGTTAATTGCATTACATTCTCAACACTCCTCCTCAAGATGGGCGAAAGATATCAATTAAGCCCATCTTGTCACATCCTCTAGCTAGATCTACTGAGCTAAGCCCTTTAGTCAAGCAGTCTGCAGCCTGCTCCTTAGTTGGAACATAGCCTAACTCCAGTAGTCCACTGTTCAGCTTCTCCTTGATGAAGAATCTATCAATCTCGATGTGCTTAGTTCTGTCATGTTGAACTGGGTTGTTGGCGATGCTGATAGCTGACTTGTTGTCGCACCACAAACTCATCTTGGCCCCTTGGTCAAGGTTCAGCTCCACCAGCATGTTCTTCAGCCACATCAGCTCTGCAACCCCCAAGGCCATGGCTCTGTACTCCGCTTCAGCTGTTGATCTCGCCACCACAGATTGCTTCTTGCTTTTCCAGGAGACTAAGTTGCCTCCTATAAATATGCAATACCCTGAGGTGGATCTCCGATCATCTCCACAGCTAGCCCAATCTGAGTCACAGTAGCCCTCAATGTTCACATGGTCACTCCTCCTGAATCTTAGTCCTTTACCAGGGGCACCTTTTAGATAGCTCAGTATCTGATATACTGCATCCATATGGCCCTTCCTCGGGTCATGCATGTAGTGACTCACCACGTTCACCGCAAATGAGATGTCTGGGCATGTGTGACTCAGGTAGATTAGCCTGCCCACCAATCTCTGATATCTCTCACGATCAACAGTTTCTCCTGCCTCAGCACTCAGCCTGAAACTCTGATCAATCGGTGTAGCAGCAGGCTTGCACCCCAACATCCATGTCTCTGCAAGAAGATCTAGCGCATACTTCCTCTGGGAGAGAACAATCCCCTTAGGTCCATGAGCTATCTCTATCCCAAGGAAGTATTGAAGCTGACCAAGATCCTTCACTTCGAATTCTTTGCTCAATCTTACCTTGAGCGGAGCAATCTCCTTCTCATTTATTTCCTATGATAATCATGTCATCCACATACACTGCTATCATAGTGATGTGACCCCTACTTCTTCTGAAGAATACAGTATGGTCGGCATTGATCTGTCTGTATCCCATTACTTCTTCTGAAGAATACAGTATGGTCGGCATTGATCTGTCTGTATCCCATACCAACCATGGCTCTCCTAAACCTATCAAACCATGCTCGAGGGGATATCCCATACCAACCATGGCTCTCCTAAACCTATCAAACCATGCTCGAGGGGACTGTTTCAGCCCATACAGAGACTTCTTCATCCTGCAGACCATACCTACTGTCTGTCCTGTGCCACATCCAGGTGGTATCTCCATATACACCTCTTCCACTAGATCTCCATGAAGAAACGTATTCTTCACATCCAGTTGGTGTAGTTGTCATCCACCATTTGTTGCCAGAGAAATCAACATTCGAACAGTACTCATTTTCGCCACTGGTGCAAAAGTCTCATCGTAGTCAATGTCGTATGTCTGGCTGTACCCTTTTGCCACCAGTCATGCCTTATATCGTTCAACCTTCCCTTCTGGGTTCTGCTTCACAGTAAACACCCACTTGCATCCCACTGCTCTTTTCCCTGCTGGCAGTATCGCTAACTCCCACGTGTGGTTCTTCTCAAGAGCCCCCAGCTCCTCATGCATAACAGCATTCCACCTTGGGTCCTTCTTAGCACCCTGTCAGTTGTTAGGTATAATAACAGAATCTAATGATGCAATGAATGCTCCGTGTGAAGGGGATACATGAGAGTAGAAAACAAATTGATCTAGATCCAAACCATATCTCTTAGGAGGATTTCCCGCATTACTGCGAGTAGTCCTCCTCTCTGACATTGGTGTCGGGAGAGAGGCAGGAGTAGGAATGGTATTACCTAGAGTGGAGGTTGGTGTAGGTGTCTCAGGAGTTGGAGCAGAGCTGAACAATGAACTAGGCACTGGCACTGTCACTGTAGGCACATCTGGCTCCTTCCCCCTCCTACTGTATGTAAGCAACTCCCCTTGAGCTGTAGGCCTAACACCCCTTGTCTCCTCCTCCTCCCCTTCGTCTTCATCCTCCTTCTCTTCTGAGTACGGAATCGAAATTGGGATTGACCCCTTTGAGCTCTCACCATTCTCCCCCTCTCGCCTCATACCTCCAGTATCGGGCAAGTCGCCAAAAGGTGAAGTAACCCCCACTGTGTAGTACGGCTCGAGCTCCCGAAACCGCACATCCATGCTGACAAACAGCCTCTTTTCCACCGGGCTCCATTAGACATATCCTTTCTGGGTGCCATTATAGCCCACGAATATACACTTCACAGCCCTATGGTCTAGCTTCCCAACCAATGGTCTGTTGTCCTTCACAAAGCACACACAGCCAAATACCTTCAATGGTAGGGCCCCCCGTTATCTCCCTTCAGTGTCTCACGAGGAGACTTCCACTCCAACACACTCGAAGGCATCCGGTTGATTAAGTAAGCAGCAGTCAAGACTGCTTGTCCCCACAACACTTTTGGGACGTTCATTGCCATCATTATACTCCTAGTAACTTCTAGGAGATGTCTGTTCTTCCTCTCTGCTATCCTATTCTGAGCTGGGGTGTATGGGCATGTAGTCTGGTGTAGAATCCCCTGAGCTGACAGATACTCCCCAAGTGTTCTATTGATGTACTCTGTCCCATTATCCGACCTTAACACTTTTACTGCTGCATAATACTGAGTCTGGATGTGCTTATGAAAATATTTGAAACAACCAACTACATCACTTTTGTTTTTCATAAGATACACCCAAGTGACTCTAGAGAAGCAATAAATAAATGTTACAAAAAACTTGCATTCATTTGTAGAATTTACTGGGCAGGGTCCCCATACATCAGAGTGTATTACTTTAAACTTACAAGTACTCCTACTACCCGAACTAACATAAGAGCTTCTAGTCTGCTTGCCAAACTCACAAGCATCACACTGCAACTTCTGTTTATTTACTTTTCCAAACAGAGTTGGATACATTTTACCCAAAATACCGAATGACGGATGTCCCATTCGCTGATGGTAAAGCATCAACTCATCTTCTGCACAGACTTTAGCTCCTCCTATTCTTGTCCTCTCCACCACAGAAGTCAACGCTGAGTCCATCCCTTCGCGGTCCAAGTACCACAGCCCGCTACGCCATGTCCCAGTCCCAAGTCTTCGCCCTGTCCCTTTCTCCTGAAAAATTACCTTGGGAATGTCAAAAGAAACAATACAATTTAGTTGGATGATAATGACACTAATGGATAACAGGCTAATAGGAAATGAAGGAGCATGCAGAACATTAGATAAAGTTATAGAACCTGTACAACTAACAGTGCCCTTACCAACCACATCCTGTGTTGTACCATCAGCAATTTGGATGCTCTCTGCTTCTGCTAAGTGAGTGTAAGATAAGAACTCACTAGAATTACCTGTCACATGTCTGGATGCTCCAGAATCTATTATCCAGGCGGTGGATCTTCCCTCGTTTGGGTGTGCACTAAGGGCGTAATTGGCATAGTCCACTCCAGTGAAAGTAGTAGATGACTCCTCAGACACATCACCTACTGCTCTCTGCTTCCTCCTCAGTGCTGCCAAGAGAGCTCGATCCTCATCAGTGAAGATCATCACAGCTTCTTCTTTCCTTTCTGCCACTGTCAAGTTTTCCCGGTGGCCTCCTCTTCCACCTCGCCTGCCTCCACGCCCACGGCCTCCAGCCTGACCACGTTCACCCCAGTTCCTCTCCCTGGGTGGCTTAGGGCACATCTGTCTCAGATGCCCTACCTCTCCGCAGTTAAAGCACTGCCTAGTCTCCCTTCTGAATCTAGTGTTATCCGGATTGGATACCACCAGTGCAGACTTCTCCCCTGTAAGTCCACCTATCCTAGCCTATAGCCTGATACGGCTCTCCTCCTATATCATGGCCGAGACTGCCTCCTCCAGTGATGGGATCTTGCCTGATACGGCTCTCCTCCTATATCATGGCCGAGACTGCCTCCTCCAGTGATGGGATCTTCGTCTGGGTTAGTAGCAATGCCGTTCTCTGCTCATACGCTGGAGCCAAGCCTCGAAGAAACAACATAGTCCTCTTCTGCAGAGAGGCCTCGCGTTCCTTGCACTCCGGGTCCTTGCAGCTTGCCAGGGGTGAGAAGTGATCGTGATCGAGCCACAAGCGCTCCAGCTCTATGGCATACTCCTGTACAGTCCTCTCTCCCTGGACTGTAGTGTTGATCTCCTTCTCGATCTGGAATACCCTCAGGTCATTTCCCACCCCATCGCAGGTCCTCCTCAGCTTCTCCCAGACATCATGCACTCTCCCAAGGCCATCCACTGTGGCAGCAATTGGCTGGACTACATAATTCAGAAGCCAGATGTACACCAACATATGAGTGGACTTCCACTCATCTCTCCCTGCTGAGTCCTCAGCCGGCTTAGTCTTCTCCCCTGTCAGGTATCCCTCTAGGCTCCTCCTAGTAAGGGTATATTTCACCCGGCGCGACCAACTCAGATATGTCGCGGGTCCATCAAGTTTTACATTAATAGGTGGAAGCTCCACCTTCTTGGGTTGTGGCTTTGTCGAGCTCTCTCCCGCCGACAACCTCATCAGTTGTATCAGTGTTGAGATCTCCTCAGGGTTCAACTTCTTGATGATTCCTTCCATCGGATTTTTGCCAGTCTCCGTCATCGATCCAACTTGTATTCTTGTGTGTAGTGAAAAATTTCGGCAGCACTTCGACAGCACCACAAGAGAGATAGATCAACAAGAGTTCCTGTTTCACCAAGGAAATAAGAACTAGAAGCAGAATATCTCAACCAAGTGAGACATCAGTGTAGGCAATAAAAATTGCCTTTAATCCTTATCAGAGAAGTTCAGAACAAAACTGCTAAAACCTCGCCCGAAATAGCAGAAAAAGGGGAAAACGCAGATGTCTCCCAAACCGTAAGGAATTTGGCGAAACGGAGGAAGCGAACCGAAGCCTTTGGCTTGGTTCGGATGGCCCCATCTCGTCGAGATAGGCGATTTTCACATATAATTCGTCCAATTCCGACTTACGGTTTGAAAGTTACGGCCTATTCTTCGATCCATGCTATAGAGCTCGCCGAACGGCTTGAAGATCGCCTGCAGTATCAAATCCGCCTGCAGACCCAAGTCTGCCTGCCTGCAGTCCCAAATCCGCCTACAGACCCCAAGTAGTCTGCCTGCGCACCTGAGCTCGCCTGCAGACCCAGTTCGCCTGCAAGCTCGCCTGCAGACCCAAGCTGCAGACTCGCCAGCTCACTGTCAACTGCCCACTTGGAGTATGGGAACAGTTACATCAGTGGTCAAATCCCACAAATCAAGGGAGAGGGCACAATACTCCAGGCCCGTCAGATGGCCGTCCACAGTACGAATGAGCGGACAGGCGCCGAAACAGCCTGCACCCTCATAAATTCAGCTTACCTCACTTGTCCAAGCAGAAGGGAGGGCCGCCGGCGCTCAGTGAGTTGGCCATATCCACTCGAGTATCTGACAGCCGCTGTCACGCATACGAGGAGGGGCTTTCCCATTCCTAAGTGACGTGATGTAAAACATGGCTCCTCGAATGACTGCTCCTGTTGCAGGTGAACAGCAGGATATCTCTGAACGACGTGTGGTCACATCCCATAATTCAAGGAGTAGTCAAGTTGTCTCCCTCACATGGTCAAATCCCATGAATCAAGGGATGGCCCATGTCATTCCTTGCCTACTAAAACCCATCTTCAGCCAGTATAAAAGAGGGATTTTGGCCGTTGCATATGGGGCGGGCTAATCTCCCAAAGGTTGAACCTGGACCTTTGCCAAAGGCTCCCTCATTTGAGAACCGAAGCTCCGGCAGCAACTTCGATCGGATCGTCCAAGGGAAGCAGACTCGGCACGAGCACCGAGCGAGGCATCCTATCGCCACCTAAAGTCCCCACACAAAACAAAGAGGGCCTTCCCTCTGCTTCTGTTGTAAACATTTGATTTGTTAGTTTGTAATAAGCTTTCTTATAAATACAAACGAAACTCCTTTCTTCGGAAGAATCAAATTTTCACCCTACAGAAGATGGCGACCACAGTGGGAGAATCCGTTCATTCAGATGAATTGGTGGTGGCGCAGTCCGACGAAGTTGCTGCAGGGACTACGGTTGAGTCCCTTGTGATCAAATTCGAAGGGTACTTACAATCGTCCTCTTCTCGCAGCAATACATCTCGCGATGGTTGCAGAGTCGTGCGGGTGGCCCAGCCCCAAGAGGCCGAGGCAACCAAGCCTGAGGGATTTGCCCAAGCCGAGGCAGGGGGTTCTTTTCCCCCCGAACCAGTTGAGGCCGAGCCGAGACTCGAGAATGCGGGTCTAGGAGCTGCTGGGTGGGTCGATGAACGATCCTCGCAGACCCCTGTGCAAAAGGAATCAACCATTCGTGTCGACGCAGACTACGCGGCGACGAAAAGCTCTCGCTCGTCTCGAGGCACAATCCCTCATCCCCCACGACAGCCTGAATTATTATTCAGGCTTGAGGCGAATCAACCTCTTGAGCCAGGTTCCCATTTTTGGCGAACCGCTCAAATCAGGCGAGCTTAGCAGTTTAGGCGAGCCCATCTCTTTGAGCCAGGTTCCCGATTTTGGCAAACCGCTCAAATCGGGCAAGCCTAGCAGTTTAGGCGAGCCCAACCACTTGAGCCAGGTTTCTATTTTTGGCGAACCGCTCAAATCGGGCGAGCCTAGCAGTTTAAGCGAGCCCCACTCTGTGAGCAAGGTGCTCAATTTTGGCGAACCAAGGGCACCTGGCGAACTCTGCAGTTTAAGAGGGCTTCGTCAAACAAGCGAACTTCACCAAGCTCGCCTGACGGCCCAAGATCGCCAGAAAGGCGAAGCAACAGCTCGCCAGACAGGCGCAGGCACACTGTGCCAATCTCGCCTGACGGGCGAACCTCGCCAGCATGAACCTCGCCAACACGCTCACGCCCAAATGGGGGTGGCCACCTCGTTTGCCTGCACGGGTCTGACGTCCGTCTCTGACGACGACGACGATTGCTCAGCAGTGGCAATGTCGGAGACTTCAAGCTCAGTTCAGGGCAAGCACACAAATGTGCACATGACTGACATCCCTGAGGAGATGTCTAGGAGGCTCGACGAGCAACAAGCAACCATCGACTCCCTGAAGGAGATGTTGGAGCAGCTCCTGAGCGAGAAGAAGAGGAAGAGAGAGAGGACTTCGCGGGCTTCGCATAAATCCTTGAAGCACAAAGAGCGGGTGCCTACTCCTTCTCACTCCTCATCCGAGTCATCTAGAGGAGCGTCATCTTCGGGCCATAACCCAAGAGACAAGAGGTTTGACGATCTCCAAAGTCAACTCGACGCCTTGAAGCTCCAGAAGCATGCGAACAAGCTGGGGGTTGTCAGACCGTATCCAATTGAATGGGATGCGGTCTCCTACCCGGCAAAGTTCGAGCCGCTGGACCTCCTGCAGTTCAATGGAAAGGGTTCTCCTACCCAGCACATCTACTACTTCCAGGCGCAAACTGGACACATAGTGGGAAACGATCCCATTATGACTCGACTGTTCATTGGTACCCTCAAGGGGGTCGCTTTTGAATGGTTTCGCAGATTGAAGCCCGGGTCCATCACCTGCTGGAAGGACATGGAAAGGCTCTTCGTGGCCAGATTCTTCGACGATGACACAGAAGTATCTATGGCCACCCTGCTAACTGTGAAGCAGAGGAGGACAGAGTCTGTAAGCAACTTTGTCAAGAGATTCAGAAACCGATCGTTGCATTCCCGCGATCGAGTTTCCGAGGCCACACTCATCGAGATGTGCCGGAACAATCTCTCTATCAGCGTTCTGTCCAATATGGGCGCTGTTGAAGCTCGCTCATGGAAAGACTTACTCCGCCAAGGAGAACAAGTCGAGAGCATGCTCAAGCATATGGGTGACGAAGACCCGCATGAATTTCGAGGGGATGATGACCAAGATGCCTTGGTAGTGGAGACCGATCCCTCATATCCTCCAAATTTCCCCCGTTGATCCTCTTCAACAGGACGGCGGGCCCACATAGTCGCTCTAATCGCGACAATCTTGTCAAGTTAACACTACACCTCTGACAATCTCCCGTCGATCCTCTTCAATAGGACGACGGGCCTACAAAGCTATCACGTTAACAATCACCTCTGATAGTTCTTCGACACTCCAACTGGTGCATGAGTTTAAACTGCTCCCTTAACACTCCGACAAGTACACGAGTATAAACTGCTTCTTCTGACACTCCGACTGGTGCATGAGTTTAAACTGCTCCCTTACCACTCCGACAAGTACACGAGTATAAACTGCTTCTTCTGATCCTCCAACTGGTATAAGAGGTTAAACTATTCCCTTCACTTCCACTTCTTGAGCCAGGTTCCCAGTACGGGCGAACCGCTCAAGTCAGGCTCGCCTAACAGATAGGCGAGCTCCACTTCTTGAGCCAGGTTCCCAGTACGGGCGAACCGCTCAAAACAGGCGAGACTAGCAGTTTAGGTGAGCTGCATCAAACTCCTACTTGGTCAAACCTTCAGATAGTTAGGACCAAAGCCACAATCCCCCGCCAATCCTCTTCAATAGGATGGCGGGACCCCCACTGTCATGTTAACGGTCACCTCTGACAAAATCAACTTACCAATCCTCTTCAAAAGGATGGTAGGTCCTCAAAGTCGCTCCGATCGCGGCAATCCCTATCATGTTAACGATTACCTCTGATAGCCGACACCATCATTCCCGCAAATGATGTTGTCCAATCAATCGTCACACTCATACGTCCCTGAACGATTTGATTCTCCTAGCACCGTCTTTCCCATAAAAGGTGTTGTTGTTTGATAGTGGCCTACTATGCGATGTGCTGCTACTTTAGGGTTCGTCTTTGCCCCAAGAGAAGACAAATTAGGGTTCGTCTTTATCTTTGCCCTAAGAGAAGATAAGCTGCCCCCTTATACTCCAACTGGTGCAAGAGTATAAACTGCCCCTTCACTCCAACTGGTGCATGAGTCTAAACTGCTCCCTACACTCTTAATCCAAATGCCTCGAAAGGCTAAGGATAGAGGAGAAATTTTAGCATTGAGCCTAAGAGAAACTCCTCGACAACTTACCATGCTAAGGGCAAGAGCATGGCTAGTCCAACTCAAACGGCAGTTGGTAAAGACAAATCAAGTCCGTTGATAGCTGAGGGTTTGCTCAAAATCCTAGAAGGCGATCATCAGCTGCGAGCGAAGAGGTCAACTTTACCGAGCTCGTTAGAGGGCTCCTCACTCCATCTGAGCGGAGATCACTTTACGGGTCTTCATATCCAAAGTGTTCCAGACCCCATGCGGCCCGATTCAGGTCTGAAAACTTTGGAGGGGGTTTTGTAGGCATGTAGGTAATAAAAATTGCCTTTAATCCTTATCAGAGAAGTTCAAAACAAAACTGCTAAAACCTCGCCCGAAATAGCAGAAAAAGGGGAAAACACAGATGTCTCCCAAACCGTAAGGAATTTGGCGAAACGGAGGAAGCGAACCAAAGCCTTCGGCTTGGTTCGGATGGCCCCATCTCGTCGAGATAGGCGATTTTCACATATAATTCGTCCAATTCCGACTTACGGTTTGAAAGTTACGGCCTATTCTTCGATCCATGCTATAGAGCTCGCCGAACGGCTTAATTCGCCTGCAGTCCCAA